GGTAAAGCACTGTGTTTTTGTTTCAAAACTTTCTTCCGGTTACAGAAATGAAATAAAAACAAATTCATATAGATTCCAAAATAGATCTTTTAGGATGATAAGGTCAATATTTATCGTTTCACTATGAATAAATAGTGAATAGGTCAATTTGGTAATTTTATTTTAAAGCCATAAGAATTAACTTAGTATTAATTTTTTGAGTTTTAAAAATATCCCTGTTCTGTCTCATCCCACCAAAAGCAAAAAATGATTGTAGGGTAAAATAAGGACCTAAGAAACATCAAATCATCTTTAAATTAAGTGGCAGCAGAAGAATTATCGTTGAACCCCGAAAAGAAAGCTTAAACATTAAATTCAATTCTTAAATGCAGCTAATGAATTTTGAGTTCTTCTGTAGTTTATTGATGCCTATTGCATCTACTCCTCCTATCTATTGATGATAGCCAAACCAAGAGTCCTCCTCAGGAACTAGTTTAAATTTTCGAATAGGGTGGCTTTTTCCATCTTTGTAATAAAACGCACTGCAATTTTGAATACAAAAAAAAAATAAGTTAGTTACTCTCCTTGAATCATGAAATCAAAGATAATGGCTAGTATAATAATATATATTCGTAATCTCGCATAATTTAGCAACCCTGAATCTGAGCTTAAAGAAAATTGTTCCCTGCGCTTAACTTTTCTAGGGATTTTGAATGAGCTATGAATCATAGAAATCGAACCAGTAGGAGCGGAGGAAAAGTTTCTTGACACACACATACAATCAAATAAATATACTGTACTTTATATATATATATATATATATATATATATTATATATATATATATATATATATATATATATATTTAATCTTCAATCGATAGAAAAAAGTATGACAGTCAAACAGATCAACGTTCTTAAAACCGACAGTCCGACAACATTTCACATATTGTTTTCCATTTTTAGTACTGAAAGTTTCGATTTAATGGATATCCATCCACACTTTTTGAAGGGCCGAATTCATATACATATATATATATATATATATATATATATATATATATATATATATATATATATATATATCTTTAATATTATATAATCTTCCACTCCCCAAACACACACACACAAACAATCACACACACACACACACAATCACACACATCACCTATATATATATATATATATATATATATATATATATATATATATATATATATATATAAATTTATATTAAAATTTATTTTTTATATATCCAGATTCTCCCAAAAAATATACAGGAAAAAAAATAAAATTTGGTTCCTAAAATCAAAAAAGAATTATGAAAATATAATGTCCGACGTTTTAATTAACATATAGCACATTTTAATATCATAAATACTCATATTAAAAATTTATTTTTCCAAATAAAATATGTAAGTTATCAAATTTTTCATTTATTTTTTTACATATTAATAAATAAATTAATTTTCCTTATGTTTCATTCATGATATAACCATTGTCTTTTTTATTATTATTTCAAGATAAAATTTTTCTTGAACTTGTAGTGAAAGTAATCTTCTACTTAACGGGTAATAAAACAATTACGAAATAGAGAAAGAGCGAAGGAAGGAGGATTTCGTTCTTATTTTTTCCTCACACCCTCTATCTTCTTTTTTAAATTTTTTTTTTGTTTGCGCGTGTGTCCAATTTGCTAGTATGTTTATGCATATTCCTTCTCCATTAATATATATATATATATATATATATATATATATATATATATATATATATATATTTATGATAATTAACCAGTAAAAAATAAATTTTCATTAATTCCTTTTAATAATATATTAAATTTGACCTCTCTTTTGTCTGCTTTAGACACAACGTCCTGAGATCACACACATGACAAACAACCGTATTGAAAAATGAAAATCATAGTTCATAATCAGATTATTATCTCCATTCATTTGTTCAAACTATCAGAAAAAGATTAAATATTTCAAAAAATTCTATTCCAACATATTCTCCACGCTTCCCGATAAATGAACTCCCTTCCTCTTACTTTCTTAGAACTGATTTTTGAGATAATTTTCAAATGTAATGTCACTCAACATCTTTTGTAGTCTTGATAAATCTCGTGACTTAAAAATATAAAAAAGTTATATTCCCTCAAACTTTAAAAATTACCTTTCGTGTTTTGTCTTTATATCAAAGTCAGGTATCGACATCATTATAATATTGGTAAACCGCCGTGTCAAGTAGACGCCCATTTTAAATCAATAAAAACGGTGTCACGTGATAGAGCTAGGTAAAAACATTTATTCTCCTATTTGTATTTCTCCTGTTATGGGTGGTATTATATCCGGGATATAATAACCCCGTTCTTCACGGACGGAACTCAATGACTAAAAAGGAAAATATTCCTTTCAAACGTGCTTTCTTTGCAAAAAGATAGAAGATACTAAAAGACATACATCTTCTTCTGTATGTACATATATGCAAATATCACACGCAGTTTCAGAATAATATATCATATAAATTTTTCACACGGCAAAGCAGATTTTCTGTGAAGATCTAACATAATATTCTGGAGATAATCATGTATCTGGAAATAATCATGTTTAGGACTCAGATGAAACTCTTTGTTGGTTTCAAACAACATCCAGAAGACCTCTGATCGGAAGATTGGAGGTTGTTTTAAGAAACACTATCTTTTTATTTTAATTTTTGTTGTTCCCAGGTGCATGCTGACAGGGGTGGTAGCACCTGTTAGGATCCCAGCTATGGGGAAATAATTAAACCCCTCAAAACCACCATAAATGTATAAAAATACATTTTCTACAGTAAAAATACCCGCGATACATTTTTATATAAAAAAGGACCAACATATTTCTAGTAAAGTGACCAACAATACATTTCAAAACAAAATAAACAGCAATACATTTTATCTCTAGTTTAAAGTATGTAATTGAGTTCAAAATATATTTAGTTGAAGCCATAAAATTGTTCATATTTTTAATTATTTAGATTTCGGCGTTAAATAACATATAGAATTCGGTATGCCACTAAACAAAACCAACCAAAGCAAACCAAACCTCACAGATTAAGAGAAGTATTGTAGCAACAGAGATGCATAGAAAATTATGGATGGAACATGTGATCAACGAGGAAGTTTTGAGGAATTTTGAAGCAAAAAGAACACTTATGCTTAGAAACAGAGATAGAAAGTTGAATTTTCTAGGACAAATAATGAGGAAAGAGGGTTTAGAAAATTTGTCACTCACAGGATATTTTTAAAAAAAAACGAATGGCAATAGGTAAAAGTAAATTTTTGTATCAACGAATGGTAATTTAAAAAAATAAAATAATAAAACATTGCTAAGAGCTATAAATGATAGTGTTATGGTCCGGTTCCTTGTACCACGGTGATAGTCCAAGGTAGAACCAATAAAGAAGAACTCGAACACAGGTATGAAATAACACAGATATATTACAAACAGGAATATACACAGAGAAGTAGAAGTGTTAGTATGAACAATCAGGTTTAGTAGAGAGAACAATGTAGTCTCGACCAGTATCACTATTCCAATGTCTTGTAGTAATTGTCTGAACACGACTCTGTTTGTACTGCCTCTGACTCGACTCTTGACTCGACTTGAACTACGATATTCAGTCACCACTCTTGGAATAGTCCCCCTCCACGAGGGCGTCATGTGGCACAAAACCTTTTTTAACGTGGGCTCTCTCCGAGCCCGTGGGCTCAATAAAATATTGAACCCGTATAAACGGGTTCAGGGTCTTTTACCTCCCGAAGGAGAACTTCCGCCCTTCGGCGTAGCCTCCTTCGGGTTCCTCCCAAATAGGAAAGAGTTCAACCGAACAGTCGGTTCAAAACTTGAACGACTGACTCCTGAGCGCAGATTTGTATGGAATAATAGTTCATTATTATTATTTTTGAAAAGTGGATCCCAAACAGATTTAAATTGTGAAGAGCCATGATTGCTCACATACTGAAGGGACACCTCATATAGAAGAAGGCGACTCAAATGAGATTAAATCTCAAGTACCTCTAATCACGACGTCCGACTGAACAGAGAAATTCGAAACACATATAAGACTATTCAAGAAGTTGTTAGAAACTCAAGTTGCTTTCATGGCAATTTGTTAGAAGTCGGATTCTCAAGTCATTATCTTATTTCTTTACAAAATATTTGATTTATTTTCTTTTTGAAATGAAGTCCTCTTCACTGTAGTCAACAGCGTTCACTGATTCCTTTTGCGAAGTGCTAGACAAGGGAGACGAGAGAAAACGAAAGGGACGGGGTATGATATAATGGGCTTTAAAACCCTAGCCAGAGACGGGTAAACGTTGTTGAAGACTAGATGGAAAATTAACTAATAAAGGATGTGGCAACTGAAGACCGTAATTACTGGTGACAGTCCCAGATTGTGTACAATTCATCAATGGACGTCGAAAAAAAAAAAAAAAGAAAAGAAGAAGAAGAAGAAGAAGAAGAAGAAGAAGAAAAAAAAATACATAAATATTTGGGGTTCGGTGAACGTGAAGTTTTCCTTTGATTTTTTTTTTTTTTTTCTAGGGCTTTTCGAAAATTCCAGAGAAAAAAAGGAACCTAAAAGGAAATAAAATGGAAAAAGTAAACTTAACAAATAAATAAAATAAATAAATAAAATAAGATAAAATAAAATAAATAAAATAAAACAAAGGAAAAACGAAGGAAAATAGAAACAAAAGGCACAAAAACATTTGTAAAAAAAAAATTCTTTCTTGAAAAACAAAAAAAAAAACAAATTAAAAAAAACGAAAAATTAAAAAAAGAAAAAGATGAAAAAACGAAGAAAAAACCGATAATATGAAAAGGACAAAAACGAAAAGGTAAAAAAATGAAAAAAGAGGGAAATCAGAAAACATAAAAAAAGAAAAATAACGAAAAACTAAAAGAAAGAAAGAATGTTAACTGATTTTTAATTTTTTTTTTCATTCTTTCTTTTTATTTTAGTTTTTCGCTTTTCTTCTTTCTTATTGTAAAAAAAGATCAAAAAAGAAAAGGTTAAAAAAGGAAGAAAGAAAAAACGAAGGCAAGCAGATAACATAAAAAGAACCAAAACAAAACGTAAAAAAAAAATTAAGAATGAAAAACAAAGGAAAGAAAAAAACAAAAAAGAAAGAATGAAAACAGATAACACAAAAAATAAAATACGAAAAAGTAAATAAAGAATGAAAAACGAAAGAAAACAGATAACATAAAAAGAACAAAAAAATAAAAAAAAAAACAACTAAAAAAAAATGACAAAAACGAATTCGACCTTTTATTAATGAACATAATTGTGAACAGAAAAACAAAAAAAAAATGAAAGAATGAAAGAAGAATGAAAACAGATAACACAAAAAGTAAAATACGAAAAAGTAAAACAAAGAATGAAAAAAACAAAGGGAAACAGGTAACATGAAAGGAATAAAAACGATAAAATAAAATAAGACAGAACAAAATGAAAAAAAGAATGAAAATAGATAATCTAAAAATTACAAAAACGAAAAGGTAAAAATAGAAAGAATGTAAAAAATGAAGGGAAACATAAAATAAAAAAGAACAATAACGAAAAAAAAAAAACAAATCAATGAAAAAACGAAGGAAAATCGATAACAGAAAAAAAACAAAAACGAATAAATTAAAAAGGAAAAAATGAAATAACGAAGAAAAACAGATAACATAAGCAAGAATAAAATGAAAAAAAAACTAAGTAAAACACATTACAGAAAAAAGTGAAAGAAAAGCGAAAAAAAAAAGAATGAATGAAAAAGGAAGAAAAAAGATACAAAAATACAAAAAAGTAAAAAAAATAAAGAATAAAAAAACGAAGGAAAACATATATGAAAGATCAATAACGAAAAACGAAAAAGAACGAATGAAAAACGAAGGAAAGCAGATTACATAAAAAGGAAAAAAAAGAATGAAAAAGAAAGAAAAGAGATAACGTAAAAACGTACAACGAAAAAGGAAAAAAAGAAATCAT